GTGCCTCGACCACCCTTGGGGTCGTGTCGGAGGCCACATGGAGCACTGACGAGAGGGCCTCGCCTTCGCAGGGTCCATCTCGATCCGACTCGATGTCGATTCCAGCCGGCCCCATTCGATTCGACCCTGGTCTCCCGACGCTCTTGTGCGGCCCGACGGCTGCATGGCGCTGCAGTGCATCCTCGCGCAGCCGACCCGAATTTGGATTTTTCGAGTCTGGGCCGAGGCAGGCCGACCCCCGATGCACGCTCTCCGACTCGATGCGGCCTCCCGACCCGATGCGGACCGATGCTGCCCCCGCCGCCGTGAAGTGGGGGACCACATGCGGACCCTACCCCTACCCCCCACGATCTCTGAGGGGGAGGGAGGGGTTCACTTCGCTCGGGAGCTCCCGAACGAAGTGAGCCCCACCCTCCCCCTCAGAAATCGTGGGGGGTAGGGGCAGGGTCCGCATGTGGTCCCCTAGTGAAGGAGACGGCCGGGCACGGAGGGGAGCGCGCCCCCTGGGGTCCCGGAGGTCGTCTTCGTCGCTTCCGGGCTTATCCTGGCACCGCTCGGGCGAGTGTATTTTTTTCTCGGCGAGAACCATCGAGGACCATCCTGGACCATCGAGCAACAAGAAAGCACGCACGAAACCGACAAATGCACGGGAAATGGCCGTCCGAGCGATGGCAAGGCTTCCGTCCCGCGCACCGCGCCCCGCGCACCGCGCCCCGCGGATCCGCGGCAGGCGGCTCGGGGCGAAGGGCCGGCCCTGGGGGAAGGCCCGGGCACCCGGGGTCCAGCACCCGTTTTTCCCACAGCCAGCCGCGCGCAGAGGGAGGTGTATGCCTGGCACCGCTCGGGCGAGTGTATCTCTTTTCTCGGCGAGGACCATCGAGGACCACCCTGGACCATCGAGCAACAAAGAGGCACGCACGAAACCGACAGATGCACGGGAAGTGGACGTCCGAGCGATGGCAAGTATGGGGGAGGAGGGGGGGGGAGGGTCTCTCTTGGAGGCACCCTTGCTGCTCAGACGGCGCCTGCCTCGTCTGCAGATGCAGGGCCGGCGCCTCCCGGGGAGCAGCCTCTTCCTAAGACGCCATCCCCTCTACGCCCCGCCGTGCTCCGCTGCGCCCTGCTGTGCCGTACACCTTAGGCGATGCTTAAGAAAACTTAAGTTTCCGGCCAGAGTCTCGATTGTTCTTAACGTTTCAATGTAAATCCCAAGAGTTTGATAGAATTGTTGGGTGTTTATTCAAGTCCTGAGACCATGAATTTCTTAACCCATGATTTCTTAACCATTTCGCGTGGTGTACCATACGATGCATCGCGCACCCTCTCGGGATCCCTGCCCCCGCTCGACGCCCGCCCGTGCGAACAGAGAGGCTATCCGCGCCACGGCAAGGGACTGGGAGGGAGGGCTAGGACGCCGGACGCGACGCGATCGCCCCGAGCTTGCCCTCTGCCCCTCCGTGCGCGCTGCCAGCCTTGTGAGTCGGAGGTGGATACACCCTATGCGATGCTTAAAAAAACCAAAGTTTTCGGCCAGAGTCTGGATTATTCTTAATGTTTCAATGTAGATCCTAAGATTTCAATGGACATTCTGGGTTTGTATTCAAATTCTGAGACTATGAATTTCTTAACCCATGATTTCTAAAGCATTTCGCAGGGTGTAGACCTCCTGCCCTGACACGTCGGTTAAGGAATTGGCCGTTTTCGGTTCGCGAGAGGGTGTCGCGGCCGCCATTTTTGCGGGTCCGGGTCCGTCGGTTTCGGCCCTGGGCCGTTTTCACTGCGGGGAGGTTTACTAAAAAGGGAGGTTTGCCCACCGCCGAGTGAGTGCTACCCAGTCTCGCCTCGGCGCGTCTCTCCCTCGGCGGACGCGGGCGGGCGGCCAGCGGGGGGGCGGCGGAGGTCCAGCGGGGGCGGCTCCCCTGGGGGAGGGCTGGCGGAGGCCCGCGGCAGGAGAGCCTGGCCCTCCGGGAGCCGCGGCGAGGCGTCCTGGCTCGCCGAAGAGGCCCACCAGGGCATGTTCCGAGGACCGGAGAGCGTCTCTGGCCGAGGCCTCCTCGCTCCGCTGCGTCGGCTTTGTGTGTGTTTTCGAAGCAACTTCCCCAGACCGGCGGCTATGTTCCAGCCGTCGCCACCTCGTCACCGCCTCGTCGTCGCCCGTCGCCTGGGCCGTGGAGGAGGAGGAGGAGGGTGAGGGGGAGGAGAAGCAGGAGGAGGAGGAGGAGGGTGAGGGGGAGGAGAAGCAGGATGAGGAGGAGGAGGAGGAGGAGGAGGAGGAGGAGGAGGAGGAGGAGGAGGAGGAGGAGGAGGAGGAGGGGGAGGGAAATGTGAAGGAGGGCGGAAATGTGACTGCGCGCCACAGCCGACGGGACGCGCGCGCGCGACAGTGCCCGTAGAACGTTTGGGGGGAGAGAGAGAGAGAGAGAGATATGGAAAGAGAGAGAGAGAGGAGAGACAGAGAGACAGAGAGAGAGAGAGAGAGACATCAGGAACGAGGATTGAGGAGGAGAGGGAGCAGGAGCCGGAAGATGAATGGGAGGAGGAGGAGGAGGAGGTAGAGAAGGAGGGGAAAGAGGAGGAGGATGAGGAGGAGGAGGGGGATTGTGATGGTGGTGCTGCTGCTGCCCATACTGATGCTGCTGATGCTGATGCTGATGATGCTGATTGATGCTGATGCTGATGCTGATCGTAGTGGTGATTCTGATAGGTATGCTAATGATGCTGCTGCTGATGACGATGATGATGATTCTTGAGGATGCTGGTGATGGTGATTATGGTGATGGTGATGGTGACGATGACGATGACGATGCTGATGATGATGCTGATGCTGATGATGATGCTGCTGGTGATGATGAGGATTCTGATGATAATAGTGATGCTGATGATAATGGTGATGATGCTGCTGATGATGGTGGTGATGGTGATGGTGATGGTGATGATGATGCTGATGATGATGATGCTGGTGATGCTGGTGATGGGGATGATGGTGACGGTGATGGTGACGGTGATGGTGATGGTGATGATGACGATGACGATGACGATGACGATGATGCATTTAGATGATGATGATGCTGATTATGATGATGATGCTGATGCTGATGCTGCTGATGATGATGAGGATTCTGATGATAATGGTGATGCTGGCGATTATGCTGATGATGCTGCTTACGATGCTGCTGCTGATGATGATGGTGATGGTGATGATGATGATGCTGAGGATGATGATGATGATTATGATGATGCTAGTAATGATTAGGGAAGTTCTTTATCAAGAAGAAGAAGAGTAGGCTGAGGAGGAGGGCGAGGAGGAGGAGGCGGAGGAGGTGGAGGAGGACGGAAGGATGAGGAGGAGGAGGAGGAGGAGGAGGAGGAGGAGGTGGAGGAGGAGGAGGAGGGGAGGGAGGAGGAGGAAGAGCAGGTACGGATGATGATGATGATGATGATGATGATGATGATGATGATGATGATGATGATGATGATGATGATGATGATGATGATGATGATGATGATGATGATGATGATGATGATGATGATGATGATGATGATGATGATGATGATGATGATGATGATGATGATGATGATGATGATGATGATGATGATGATGATGAGAGGATGATGATGTGATGATGATGAGAATGATGATGATGAGGATGATGCTGAAACTGATGATGATGATGATGATGATGATGATGATGATGATGATGATGATGGTGATGATGATGTTGATGCTGCAGCTGGTGCTGGTGCAGATGCTGATGCTGATGCTGATGCTGCTGCTGCTGCTGCTGCTGCTGCTGATGATGATGATGATGATGATGATGATGATGATGATGATGATGATGATGATGATGATGATGATCCCGCTCTCCTTGGGGGGTCGGAGCCGAAACCATCACGCCCACCGCATCTCTCCGCTGCCGCCGATGCTGCCCGCGCTGCTCTCCCACGCGTGCCAGCGGCAGGCACCTCTGCCCGCATGCGTCTCCCGCGCGCCCGGAGGCGCGCGGCGCCGGCGAGGACGGGGCACCTCCACGCATCAGGATCAGGCGCTGGTCCTGCGGGCCACGCGACGGGGCACGTGCCCCCCGTGGCCAGGACCCGGCGGAGCGCGTGCTCCGCGAGTGGCGCGCGAGACGGGGCGCGCACGCAAGGGGGCCGTGCTCCGCGCGCCCTGCCCGGGGCAGGGGGCGCCGGAGGCCGTGCTCGGGCGCCCAGCCTGCCCAGCACCCTAGCCATGGACGGCCGCTGGCGACGAGGAGGAAGGGTCTCTCCCGTTGGCCCCCTGCGGGCAGACAAGGGTGACGGTCGGGCTGTCGCCCGCCCGTCTTTCTGGGAGGGGGTCCCGGTGGCACAGGTGCCGTGATGGTGATGATGATGATGATGATGATGATGATGATGATGATGATGATGATGATGATGATGATGATGGTGATGGTGATGGTGATGGTGATGGTGATGGTGATGGTGATGGTGATGGTGATGGTGATGATGATGATGATGAGGAGGAGGAGGAATAATTCTGATGATGACGATGATGCTGATGATGACGATGCTGATGATGATGATGCTGATGATGATGATGCTGATGATGATGATGGTGGAGGAGGGGGAGGAGGGTATATAAGAAGACTATGAATAAATATTCAAGAATAATCGGAATAGCAATACTCAGACCAATGGTACGATTGTTATCCATCTATATATATATATATATATTTAATGTCAATGCACATCTTTGTACTAGTAGTAAGTATACTAGGAAGAGGAAACATGATAAGTAGGAAGATGAGGGAGGCAGGCAGTGAGGGTGGACTGCAACATAGCATGGTCAAGGTGCCCTCCAAGGCCCCAGGCAAGCGATTCAGAGCTGGCCACGTCTTATGCTCCTTCAGCTCGGCCTCCTTGTCAGCTCCATCGGCGGGGGAGTCTGCCCAGGGCGGGCGGAGAGCGCACGCCCGACGGCTCCCCATTTTTGTATGTTGTGAGAAATCACGGCGGGAGGT